TAGTCGTAGTAGTAGTAGTAGTAGTAGTAGTAGCAGTAGCAGTAGCAGTAGCAGTAGCAGTAGCAGTAGCAGTAGCAACAGCTGGAATGCAAAAGCCGACTCCAAGTCGTGGGCCATGGCGTGTGCCATGGCCTTCAAGCGACCGGGCTTCTTTCATGTCGTCTTTTGTGCAACTTCATCGGATCTTCGCGCTGGCAGCCGAGCGATCTGGCTTTGGGTATATTGCATCGGGGCATGGTGGGACTATCATATAATGTACATACATACATACATACATACATACATACATACATACATACACTTATATGTGTGTATGGAACATATATACCCGGTACACCCCTCCCCCGGTACCTACCTGTTTGAGCAGCACTACAGACCTAAACTATCCTACACCTGGTGGGGTGGGGTGCCGGATAAGCCCTAGCTGTACAAAGAGTGCCATTAGTTCAGAATAGGCACTAGCCATACTACATGTAAACCATATTAAAGTAAGTAGGACTCATGATATTCGACATCGGGGCCAATTCACCGTGAAACGGACCCATTGAATTTGAATCGAGAGCCGGATTCAAAATTGAAAATCCCTCGAAAAGGTTTGCTAGGGATATTCAATCTTCAATCCAGGGCCGACTCAACTTAATCTGACCGATTCAGCTTCAATCGCATTCGGCAAAATAGTATAATGAAATGAAAGAATCGAATGAAAAAAGGCCAAGCGAGTGAACGAGATGAACATACATTTCAGTTGACTAATTTGGTCTGTTTCATCTTTTGTGTTTTATTGCGCGGCTTCACGCTCGCTCCCCTTTGTGTTGCATTGAAATGAAAGCCACGCAATACAACACAAAGCCCTACGGTTGGTGCGCGAGACATGGAGAAAGACAATCAATTAACTGTTGCCAGTGTAACCCAGGAACTAAGTCCCCCTTACTTTCTGTGCTTAATTCCTTGAGCTGGCTTCCTTTCCTGTCTTTGGGTTCTTGGCTTGCTTTTTCGCGCTTGAATCAGCGAAAGAAGATAAGGATTCTTATGCACTGACTAAACACAAGCACTAAACGGTAATTCCTGGGTGGAGAAAGTGAACAGAACCCAAACAAAAAGATAAAGAACAGCGTGCATCTCCTCTCTTCATTCGTTCCTTACCTTGTCTCTCATTTCATTTGGTTCTTTATCCTTTTCCTGGAGAGCCAACAGAAGAGAAGATATGGATTCATAGATAGTGAAGTGCATTGTTTCGTGCGGGGCTTTTGCTTTGTATAATCGATCGCAATGAATGAGAAGAAAGCACAGATTAAACAAGCAAAACACACGAACGGACCGTGAACAAAACAACATTACATTTTCCCCATTGGCAATTGCTGCTGGCGGTTGCGTTCGCATTTCATCAATTTCCTGTACCTTTTTCTCCCTTCAGTTTCTTTCTTTGAAAAAGGCCATGCGAAAGAACGAAATTCGGCTTTTGCCTACAGCATAAACAGGGCCCTGTCTTTTCTCATCTTGAATTAAACATAAGCGAACATAGTGAACTAAGCAACGACGAAAGAAATGAAAGGGCGCGCTACGTTTACTTCATGTGTCGTTCATTGCTTCTCTTCTCGTTCCCAATTCTTACGCTGTGCAGGTATAAGCTATTACAGATGGTTGAGTTCCTCCAAAAACAAGACAGCCTGGTTTCCTGCGTTATTATTAATGCAAAGGGAAACAAGGGAATGAAACAAATGCATGTTACTTTGTATTAGTTAACACTGTGGAGCCCAGTGATATCTAGCAGTTGCAAATGCTTTCCTCTGCCAAAATCTAATCATGTTACTAAATATTCTACTATGCTTTACTGTATATCTTGGGTGTGTGTATATATCTATATATATATATACATACATATGTGTGTGTGTTTGTGTGCATAATAAATGCTTCCACCGGCATGATCTGCCGCTTTCAGCTCCGGAAAACCTTCACACCCCGTGTCCACGGAAATTTCGCAACCGGAACAGACAATATTCGGGTGTCACCTCTCCCCCTCCCAGCCAGGTTACCCAGGCCCTCACCACGAAAAGATCCGTCCAATTCTCCAGTCGGGTGCGCCCTGAGACTGCTTACAGACCGGAACAATTGATCAGTGCTGCATTTTGCCTCTGCGATTGGCAAAGCCCCCGAACCGCCCCGCACTCAAACCGATTGGCTCAATGATTCTGATGTCATGGTTGCAAGTTTTGTAGTGGTCTAAGGCGGCTATATGGGTGTTACACAAACCAAAACCTCACAAATGCTCACATGGACTTGAAGGCTGCAACTACGTTGCCTACGGAAATCTACTCATCTACTTTCTGGACTGATCTGACTCTGACTCATTTTCTGTATTCGCTTTCCGGAAGGTTGGCGCGCGTTTTCCTTACAATCCTTGCCCTGAGAACAGGGCCTGTGCAGTCTCTTTATCGCCCCCCTTTTGCAACAAAATGTCAAAACCCTTGTAATCGAGCGCCATCTCTTATCACATTCCAGGTTTCACAGTCACAGCATGATATCTCACACGTGTTCCTCGTACAAATCACCGCAATCTGTCTTAAACAAAGCTGCATGTCAACATACAGTGTATGTACCAGATAGTGGCATCATGGCTCAACCATCCATTTAGTCGTGATACTCACTATAGTCCGACTAGAGCCCGAATTGTGACATAGAAATATAAATATATATATATATATACATGTATATGTATATATATATATATATAACAAGCTTTTTTGTATGCACCCTATGGTTGCTAGGTGATTGCAAACATCCTCCTCACGCCAAGGCGAATCCCAGCCCTGGTATCTCGTTTCCAACTCTTGCAGGCCCATTCAAAGGAATGAGCTATTCAAAACAACACACCGCACAATTTCTCATGGAAGTCGTACGAAGATATACATCTCATGCGTACAAATAAGTACGTAAACATCATATACCTACATCATAAACATCTACATTTTATGCATACGAATACAAATACACATACATATATATATATATACACACACAGACACCTACATCGACATCTACGTCCGCGTCTGAATATATATATATATATACACACATCTAAATACACATACATGTCTACATATGCGGCCTCATGTACATATACATGTGCATGTACAGGTATATGTATATGCGTAAGTAAATGAGTTATGTTCACATACATACTTGTGTATGTGCATGCTGTTTTGTATATGGGCCTACCTGCCTGTCTGCCTACCTGATTGCCTGCCTGGCTACCGGCCTGCCAGCCCGTCTAACTACGAATACATCAAAACACACGTGCATACATACATACATACATGCATACATGCCTCCAAAACACTACGTCGAATTGGCTAATTAGCCAAGACTACAGCACAATCGAAGCCTGTAAAGCTAAAGGTGCCCTTAAGGGGTCGCTTGAGGGTAGAGGGATGTAACCAACACCTGGGTGCTTAACCTGTATCGGGACGGGGTGGGCCCCTTGTCGGTTTGGCATGGCTCGAACTTGCACTGTCATCTTACCTTGCCAGACAGTTGACTCAGCTAGAAATGGCAAAGAAGCATGACATTTATTCACCGTCTTGGAAAAGCCCTGCCTTCCAACGGTACGGCTCCTGCACGCCCAGTGGCTCAAATATCGAACGGGCGCTGATCACGGGGATGTCTTCAAGCTCACCTTGCAGCTCACCCTCACCGTGGCCCCTCTACAAATGCTCAACAGTCATCGCGAAGGACCGCTCATCTCGACGTGAGCAGTACGTAGCATTCTCGAAATGACGTGCGCTTGCGCTTGCAAGAGGCAACCGAAGGCCCAGCTCAGGAGTAGAGGCATGAAGCGGACCGCTGTCTCGTGCACCCAGCCGAAGCCGGAGTTCGTGATGATGACCACCTGGCTGAGGTCAGGCATACACGTGCTCTTGCTGAAAGTGCATTACACTGCCCGTGCTGCATAGAAACAGAAGAGCAGTAACGATCCCTTTTGTGAGAGCAGTGTTCATAGAAAGGCAAGGATGTCTTCGAAGCTGGCTCGTGCCCGTGCAGGCATACTGCAGCTCCGAGGGGGCTTCGAATTGGACTGCGAGCGCGCCAGTGAATTCACAGGCGGCATTGCAGATGCAAGCAGACAGGCTGGCAAGGTCACGCCAGCTTCTGATGCACTCTTCATGTCCTTAATCAACCTCAGGATATCGGCAATGTTGGCTTGCATCTTCGCCGAATGGGCCTTGGCCTCTTTGATGTAGCTCGCCACGTCGGCCATTCGATCTCCCTTCTCAGCCAGGATGGCACCGGCGTTCGCAAGTTCATCTGCAGAATGCCGCACTGTTCGCAAGCTTCGACCCAAGTTGTCCAGCAAGCTTGAAGCCTTATCCACCCGCTCTGTGGGGTCCGAAGGGATGTTTTGACCGAGGTCTGTGTGACTGAGGTCTGGCGGCTTCGCGACAAAGCTTGATGTGGCGCAAAGGCCCTTCATGGCAGGCTCTTCGAAACTATTATTTACGTCTATCACATACAGTAACATGCATCACTCGTGCTGTCCTCTACCCCTTGAGATTACTCAAGAGTAAACTTTGTCTGCATGTCATCCTGCATGCTGGCAGATGTCCACTCGTTTGAGCCAGACTGCAACGTGAGCTCCTGTACGCTTCGGCGCGATGGCCCGTCAACAACCTCCCCACGCCTGCCCGTGGCCCTAAATCAAAGCTGGCAGAGCAGGAAGCCCCCATGTGGCATTACGTGCGCATTCAATGTGACAGGCTCGCCCTGCCGAACTGCTTGGCCTGCACACAAAGCCATATCAAGTCCATGCAAGCCGCAAGCCTGGGCCCTTAACTTAAACCTGCTCGGCGCCTTCTGTAACGCCTGGAGGGCAGCGACTCCACAAGCCTCCAGGTAGGAGTCGAAATCCTGAGCTCAGGGACGACCTAACCGTCCTGACCTCATTCAGCGAGCGCTCTGGACAAGTTTGAAGGGGCCCCGCCCAGTCGTTGAGCAGCCCGGAGGCCCGGGCTCCGCTGGTGGCGGCCTCGCCAGGATGCCCTGGCGCCGGCCTGGGCAAAGAAGGCCACGGCCTTTCCGGACCCTCGGCGCTGACGCCGTCAACCTGAGGTGCTTGCGCAATGCGCTTCGCTGCGACCAGGGCGGCCGTGGGCAGGATCGTATCGTCCTCAGTCAAGACATCAAGCACAGGCTTAAGAAAGGCATACAAAAGGCAGCTGGCCCAGTCGAAGACCACCAGCGCAGAAGGCACCTCACTGTCCTGCCCAAGCATGCAGCATCTCGTCACTGCGCTATCATGAGCTCGATTGTTGTCCCGCCTTATTGTGCTCCCAAGGTCGCGAAACGACCGCCTCATGCCAGCATGTGCTCCGACCTAGTTTCAGGCTCTGTGTTGGGCCCTTGTCGCTGAGGGACTCACCTTGACCTTAGAGACAAGCATGGGTGGGACAAAAAGCATTCTGGGCCTAGCGGCCCTACTGACTCCTTCCTCTAGCGACCACCGTGCTTGTGGCTTCCCTCAAGTGCCCTGCAGCTTCCCAAAGTTCTTCTCCTCCGGGTGGCTTGATGACCTCATTAGAAAAAATGACAGCTTCATCGACACGCTGTCTCTGTCGGTCTGTGTGTGTCCGTCGGTCTGTCTGTCTGTCTGTCTGTCTGTCTCTGTCTGTCTGTCTGTCTGTCTGTCTGTCTGTCTGTCTGTCTGTCTGTCGGTCTGGTCCGTCCGTCCATCCGTCCGTCTGTCTGTCTGTAGCGAATCCCGATCGGCACGAGGGATAACAAAAGCCTCAGATCACGTCGCTTGGGCTTCGGTGTTAATGCAACGGCCGCAGCTGGCATGGCTCACACCAACAGGGCTCTGCCTCCTTCGACGGGTGAATGATGGTGAATATGGTGAATGTACCTCTTATGGCACACGGGGGAAGAGCTACGTCGGCTGTTTGTAATGTTCAATCGCGCGCCCCGGCCACAAGCTGAGATGTTGGGCATCTCGAATCTGGATGTTCTGTTTGTCGATACATCCACAATCCCTGTTGCCAAAGCCTGATAATTGCTATCGTTGCACCCTAGCCCCCTCACGAGCTTAGATTGAAGCCGAATGGGCAGCTCCCACTGCACACCGGCTTATATGCTTGTTTAGATGACCGATCTTGGCAAGGGCCGGCAGACGTATCCGACGGTGCAACTGGCGGCCGGTTCCATTCGACTCTCTGCATTCTGTGGCAGTCTCTCCCGCGCAGGCGTCAGTGGCTGAGCTTGCCACAGGTGCGGCAGCAGATGCGTGGGTGGGAGGGTCTGCTGGTTCCGGCACTCCTCAAACAAGAGGCAGGTGACGGAGCACAGTTAGTTTGTGGCCTGCAGTGCCAAACGGGATATGGCACAACCTTGCACGTGCGCTCTCGGTCATCATTGTCCTACAGGCAAAATCTCAGGAGGCGGTCGTGCCGCCTCAGCGAGCATGCACTGTAGCGCCATTCCGCTTCCCAAGCTCGACGCCCAGAAGCGTGGAGCTAGGCAGCCGGGCCAGCGTTGCCATTCTGCTTGCACGTGCACCTTTCGGCTTTCAGGATGCTCATTGTTCTCTGAGGCACCAGCCTTCAAAGTAAGCCGATGTATGCTCTCATCGAATGGTTACAGATGGCTGGCTCTGCTGACTCTCTGCTGATTACTTGACTGAGGATACCACGCGAAGTCTGACAAAGTACGTTTCGAGGGCCTGTTTGCAAAGAGGCCGGGTGCGGCATGTGGCTGCGCAGCATAGATGCATCTTGGGACCAAGCGCCACTCCAAGAGCGGGCGTGTCCTCAGCTACGGAAGGAAACGGCCTTCTGGTCAGACTCGATACCAAGTCAAATGAAAGCACGCCCATGGTCCGAAACGACTACCTTTGCTTGACACAAAGCTGGCTTGTCTCTTGCCGAGCATCTCGCTGCAGGCCACGCCCGAGCTGCTTCTATAGAGAAATAGGATGAAATAGGTAAATGTGTTTTCGAGCCTAAAATCACGACGATCAGCAGAAAGTCGTGGCTCCAACCGCCCAATTGCCATTGCAGCGGACCCACTCGCAGATTCTTGTGTCGTTGCTTTATGCTCACTTTTTCCTGAGCCAAGGCCTTTAGGCATATGTATGGGCATATACACTTCTTGGCAACAGCTGCGCCAACGGCAAGCTGTCACTCAACAAACAACGGTGAAGCTGTGCAAGAGGTCAAGTAAACACTTGGAGATTCTTGGAGCCTGATTTTTGAAGAATCTGAGAGCATCCTGAGCCTCCCGTCCGTCACAACTGGAGTCTGTACATGCTTGCGTTTCACGTCCACTCCCGAAGATCCGGCAGGTGTAGACAGGTGCTTAGCGCTCGCATCTGCCCACAAGTCACTTCGTGAGTGCGGGCTCACAGCGAGTTGAATAACTCCTTTCGGGTCAATACAAGGGCAAACCACGGCGCCGTGCACAAGACACCACAGGGTCCTGGAACAGAAGCCAGGCACTCACCGCACAAAATGCGACATAGATTCCAGGAGTCATAAACCTCGTCGCCCAGCATTGTCTTGCCGGTACGGAGCGACGGGGCTCGCACAGGGCCCGGCCAGTTGATTCACTACTATGAAAGAGTGTAAGGCACGGGCAAAGATGATGATAAATCCACTGCATCTAGTACCTCGCGAAGGGCAGCGGCCATTGTCATGAAAAGGCCATCGAAATCTGTCATCTGCTTTTGGGAATTCGCAATGGCAATGAACCTCAAAATCATTACCCGTCCCGTCTGGGTGCCGGCGCCACGCCATGTGGCCTGCAACAACCTCCAGCAGGCAGGCAAATCAGCCGGGCAATTGCACGGGCCATCAGATGGAGATTCTGAGAAATCAGAATTACAACGTCAAAGATTGTTTCCGAAATGCCATCAACAACCGTGGCTGCGGCAATTTGCCATCGACAGCCCACCGAGCGCAACACCTGCGCACGAATGCAACGCTGCGCTGCCCCGTCGGAAGCCCAAGCCCCATCAAGACAGGCGCACAGGCAGCAAGCAAGAGGGGCTGCCGTGAGCGGTGCGCCAACCTTCGAGCGTGGCAACTCAAGCAACGAGCCGTGGCACTGCTTCTGCCGAGTAGGATCATACAGCAACAAGAACTCTCGTGCATACTGAAGCATACTGCTGATCTGCTGCAGCTGGGGCAAGAGGCCAAAAGTTTGTGAGCTGTGCGGTAGCAAGAGCCAGGACGGGAAGTTTTGCCTTTCGCGGGCAAATCAACTCAGAGCAAGTCTCCAGCTAGCAGAACAAGTGCCAGCGCCTGGATGCCAGCGGATGCTGCGCGCCACCACGTGCACGCTGCCCAGGAAGAGGCGGCCTCGACAGGATCCCTGGACGCGGCCGTCGCGACCCACACATCTCCGAGGCAGCGACCCAGTTGCCAGCGGCCAGGCCGATCCAAACTTCCAGCACCTGCGAGCCGACTACACTGCACCGAGGCACCGGGTACCACGGAGTCATCGCCTCCACCGACAGGTCTTTGGGAGCTGGCACTGCCTGGGCATTCTGGTTCTTAAGCTCTGGATTCGTCCATCTCTCCTGCTTCCTCCCGCTGGGCACGCGTGCACCCACCAACATGCGTCTCCACTGTATTGGCTCGAGGCAGGGACGCTACCGAGGCTGTTCAGAAGTTTCTTCCGGGCACACAGCATGATGATGATGGCCGTTGCCTCAGCGCAAGCAGAGCGAAGGCCGTCTAGTTGCTACGGGCCTGTGTTTAAAGCAAGATCAGCGTCGAACCACATGAGCAACAACAGCAGCCCATCTGTATGCTGGCGGTCCTGCAGCCGACCACTGACTTAGTTCTCTTGGCAGCAGTGCCAATGCAGCGGCGTCGACTTCACTGGCCGGTCCGTGGATACCCCAGTTTTCGAAGAGGAAAACCTCGGCACGGAACACTTGAAACCTGTGCGGTCATCAGTCGGGTTCAAAGTTCGTCACCGGAGCAAGCTGGGCCAAAGCAGCTGCAAGTCCCAAAGCCTCACAACGTAGGCCAATGTAGGCGCTCGGAGCACGCCACTCGCTTAGAGCAGGGTGGAGCCTCTTCCAAGCTCAGCTGCAAGGCGCTGCCTAAGATGCTGGTCTCCAGGCAGACCTGGCCACGTACTCACAAACGGCGAGCTACACCCTTACTCTGCAAAACGATTGCAATCGGCAATGCCATGTTTCCATTCCCCACGTGTGGTCTCCAGCAAGCTTCGCGTCTGTACCTGGCTTCTGCGAGTTGAGCTTTCACGACGATCAGGAGACTGACGGGCCCGTGATTACCAAGCACGCCGGACACGGCCATCTCTTCCGCATGTCGCCAAAGCTGCAGCGACGTCCCGGTCACTATCGCCTAGGTCCCACTGAAAGGTCGCGGCGCTTGGACATGCTTCGGGCTGCGAACATCTGATGATATCTGATGACTAGCATGGTCTTCCGGAGACTCGCATCATCTCGAAATGAACGAAAGGCCGCAAGGCCGAAGGCTCTGGCAGTCAAGGCGGCGGATGCAACAGCTTCTCCTTGAAGCTGTTGCGCCAGTCCGTGCAGCCTACCGTCAACTTATGCAAATACCCGCGTGCTGCACCGGGCATGCCTGGGCACCCTGCACATGCCGCAGCAAAGAAACGGCAGTAAAGCAGGCCAAGAGCATCAACAAGAACCTCAGTACATGCGCGACATGCCAGGTGCCGGGTCATACCACTCTTCAGGATCTGGCGCGACCTTTTCACCCGCTGAATGCTGTGGGCGAGGTCCTGCCCTGACCTTTGAACGCTGCGCGTGCTGAGGGCGAATATGCCCAGGTCGACAAGTCTGCGACTCTAGCAGGTAGAGAAGGCTGTCGCGACAAGTATGATGGTGGCATCACGGAGCTCAAATATTGTGCTTGCCGGACCAGCTCGTCGACGCCGATAAGTGCAGCTGTGGCAACATCGTTGAAGGAATTGGCTGCAGCCACCATGGCTCTTAACGCGGCATCTAAGTCACCACCAGCTGCAATGAGTCCGAGGCGATCTGCTGAAAACACTTCAGCTCTTGCTTTTGCTGCCCACAGGCCCAATCCCCACGTGCCAAAACGTAGGCATCGCCGCAGCTGCCGCTCTTCACGGGGTGGCAGCGAAAAGATCTCAGCCAAAAGTCGTGGTGTCGCAGAACCGGCCACAGCTGCACCTAGGGCCCAGGCACCTCCTGGCGCCCGAAGTCGTGAGCAAACCGCAGCGACTGCAAACATTCCGTCATCGGCATTGTGCACAGGCCATCCGCGCTCACCGGGCCCCCAAATATCGTCCACATCGAGGTCGGCAAGCCCAGGCCAGCGACCTGACCTCAGACCTCTGTAGACATCGCACGCATCAGCTACGGCATCTATGAAACGCCTAACCTGCACACGCCGTTGAATCTCCTCTGGCGACCGCTTTAGCTCCCTATGCCCTGCCGGCCGAAGTCCAAATACATGCAGCGGTACAAAGACCATCTGACGCACGAAGTGCTGCAGCGTCCATGGGGCAACTAAGTCTCCGTGGTGTAGCCACGATCGGCCAATCTCGCGGCCCACGACAAACCGCAGGCCTGCATCTGACAGCTGTGTGACCAAAGCATCAGTGACAACTAGTATGCGCCGACGGCCAAATCTAGAGGGAAGGATCGCCACGTGGGGGCGACTGCTCCGAACCAGCAGAGGCTGTGGGCAGGCATTTTGAAGTTGGAAGAGGTGCTGCATCGTCAAGCAGCTTTGTTGGGAGGCGCGCTCCAGTGCCTCAGCAGGGCACAAAAGAAACACGTAGAGCAGGACCCCTCTCACCACAGCCACAAGTACCAGCCATGCCTCGTGCAAGTTCAAAGTCCTTCCTGGTTCAAGGTCTCGGTCCAGTGCGGCCATGCCGGATTGCAGACGTAGCTGGAGACGAACCGGCCAGAACAGGATGGAGCCTTGACGAGTTTGATAAAACAAAAGATACTGTCAGTAGGAAGCCCTGGGCGCGTTTGTCTGGATTGTTGACACGGCCCGGGCCCCAATTGCTTTTGAGGCACTCAGAAAGCACGCGACTGGCTCAGCCAACTGCCAAAATGGACTCAAAACAACGTCGCCCCCACGATCTAGTGGATGTTGAACCTGCACCAGCGTGACCCAAAGGCTGAAAGGTGTTGTTGCCGGAGCTGAAACCACGTCAGAATTCCAGCCTCGCGCATGTCGATGAAACACATGAAACCTGAGGAAGCCATCATAAGCCTTGGGGGTAACAGGACGAAAGAGCCACGGTTTCAAGAGCTGATCAGAACTTCAGGCATTTGAGGCTGAGGCCCGGAGAAGATGCAGAACCATCGCCGACTCCGTGCTGTGCTTTGCGTGGGTCTCCCTCAACGGAGGCTGCGAAAGCAGTTCTCGGATCATGCCCGCTCCCGTTTGGACCGCGAGCCTCTTTGGGGATTTTGGTAACCATTTTCTAGCTTTCGCGCAGGCGGTGTGGCCATGTAGTGGCAGGCGCCCACCATCTTTCCCTCGTTCGTCGCACAGCACTGCGCGCGGTTCGTCAGCTGCAGTCCATGGCCGAGGCAGGCCAACCACAGCCCCGCCCTACTATGCCACCGTACTGTTGGCTAATGGATACGCAAGTGTCGGCTGCTTTTATGTTGTTTTAACTGAGCCGGCAGGATTCGACGGGCAGAGTGCAGGATCGTGTTTGACTGCCGAGCCCGGAGCCACTTTGGAAAAGCACCGGCTGCAGCCTCATCGACCAAAGCCGCGGGCCTGAAGCGGCTACGAAACTGCTATGGCCATGGGAAGACATTTTTAAGCGAGCAAGCATCAAAGGGGTCTGCACCTCGGACGCGGTTCACCTGATCTTCCAAGCATCAGCAGCCAAGGCCAATGCACACCAGGAACACCGGAATTAGATTTGCGAGGAAACGTCAACAGACAATCGCTGACATTCACTCGCTTTTCCTGACAGCATGCTCTCCAGCAACTCTAGTATATATACTGGATGGCCTCTATCGGCTCCTTCCGAATTTGGGTGTCATTGAACCTGCTTGGAACTCGCACACGGTACTCCAGGTGAAACGGCTGTCCAGTACCCTTCATTCCGGAGAGAGGTCAGTGGGAAGTGCTTTATCAAACTTTACATCCTGTCGTGCGACTTAGTGATGGCAGTGCCATCGGGCTGCACTTCCACAAGAACTCTCATATGACTCGGATGTGTCAAGGAAGCTCGCCTGACAAGGGAAGCTGCTCCCAAGCCCACTGATCATCAAGCTCACAAAATTATATTCCATGACTGACCACATTCAACACATATCCAGAATACGACTCCAACGCTCAAGCGAGCTTATGCCCAAGCGCAGAGAGCCGCCGCTTTGAAACAATTGGAGCCAAACCCTAAGCCCCATGCTTCTTGTGCAGCGGGAGGTGGAGGCCGATGCAAGAATTATGCAGATGCCCCTCCCCCCTCACTGACCTCAGCACTTGCGTCGGGCCAAAGCTTCACAGCCACAGTCGCCTTTTGCCGGCCAGGCACCGGAGATGGATCGCCGGCATCATCATAGGCGGCAGCCTCCGACTCGTCTCCCCTGGCAGGGCGGTCGTCTTCCGCGAGAAGAGCGTAGATCTCGGCCTCGATTGGGAAGCTGCATAGACTGCACAGATGTGGCAGAATATCGCGGAAGAGCGCTGAGACGCCTTGCAGTCAAGACACCATGACCTCATCAGGAGGATTCTCCTTGTTCTTGATGGCCAGGGAGATTGCTTCCCTGAAAACTCGCACCACATTCGTCCCATCAGCTGACGAAACCTTGGGATGCGAGGGTCACAGGGCTGCCCTTTTTTCTGGTCAACCCACCGCAGCCTACCCGAGACTCCCAACTGCACGTGTAGCGGCAAAGTAGAAGGGCAGCTGGTGGGTTACGGGGAAGTTGAACCTCTTCTTCGCCATGCTTGGCTCCACGTCAATCTTGTTGGCTACGCAAACCACTGGGATGTCTGGACCTCAGAATGCCAGCCACATGCATGCTCTCAGCACGTTTCGGCCATAACTATGCCCCGCACAGTAATTGCGAATTTCTTTGTACCACCTTAGTGCCGAACATGCATTGTGCGAAGGCTGCATGCGAACCGCAAACAGGGCTGCGCACGTTTCCAGGTTCTTGTAAGTGATCTTTCGCGTGACGTCAAAGGCCAGAATGCAGGCGTTCGCCTCACAGCCGCTGTTGGTGGAAACACCCAGCGAAGAAGCTGCTGCAGTCCAAACCATCAGACTCAAAAAGGCCTGGAAATAGTACGATGCATGTAGCTTGTCAAACTGCTCCTGTCCGGCGGTGTCCCAAAAGTCTATTGTCCATCTTCTGCCATCCTCGCAATGCTCAGATCCTACTGTCTCCCAGTGTGGGCTGCTTCATGTCAATACGCCGGGATGTACTTAACATACATGCCGTGTACTTTTTCGTGCGGGTTTTGTCACCATTCACCTAAGTCGTCCTGTCCTCGCCGGTATGGTGGTATCGGAAGAGTGTCAACGCAAAGGTCGACAGAGTTCGCGGGTTATAATCATCCTGAACTGGCGAATGCCCAACACTCTGCGATACGGCTTTACCAAGCCTTACACTAGAGAAGAGCATAGTCAGGACATGTCAGGACCAGCATCTAGAAGAAACCGCTCCACCATCTTGGACTTGCCAACGGCAGAGTCTCCACAAAGAATAATTTTCAGATCCTTGGCCCATGGCACTTAGGCACTTCGGCCCCCCGCACTCTGAGCCGACCCCGCTGTTTCCGAGAGCTTCGCCTAACTTGCAGACCACGCTTCTGCCGGTGACTGGTCGTCTTCCACCGGCGCTGCCGCAGGTTCGGACTCTTCAGCCATGGCTGCAGGACCCTAGCAAGCGAGCAGTTGTGGCAGCGTAGCTAAGGTGGCAAAATTGCTGCTGGGTCTAGTAAACTGTCTGTCGACCATGCGTTGTCTGAGTCGGTGAGGAGGGCTGGTCCACCAAAGCGAACGAAGATCCGCAAGCGGACCAGGCACTTTCGACCCCTGAGCCGAGAACGGCACACCGAAATCTCCGACGTCAAAAAGGCAGGGCCCCAAAACCCAAAACCCCAACCTTCCCGCAATCCCAATCATAGGATCCACTGGGATTTGCTGAGACATGCAATCTCCACCTGTGCCCTTCTTGTCCTCCTTGCAGGGTGAACCCGCTGGCCTTGCAGCTCTGCACAACAGCCACCACAACCACAACCACAACCACAACCGAACGACAAGAACAACAACAAGAACAAGGTACAAACAAAAACTGCAGCCCCGTCAACCCAGTTATCTGCTTCTTGTCCGTACATTAGGTAGAGACAAAAAACAGGAGCCCCGTCGTGTGGTTTTACCCCGCACACAACAATAACAACACAGTGGCTATGGTGTACAGGGTTTGAAGGATTTGCAAGATTTTCACGAGATTTCCATGGACTTGCAGAGGATTTCCAACGATTTCACTCGCATTCTGAAGGGATTTTGACGTATGCTCGAAGGATTTCCAAGGATTTCAATGATTAGCAAGGCGCCTACAGTCGGTGTCCAAGGTTCACGGGCGTCTACGCTCAAGAACTTGCGGTCTTCTCCAAGAGTGCCAGCCTAGTGGCGTCCCACACTTGGTCACTCCCACACGATGGCGATGGGCCGAAAGGAGCGCCGCTCATTGTGCACAGCCCCGTGCATGCTTGACACTAGGTGTTTGGAACCTTGGCGGCTTTGTGGTATGCAGCAACACATCAGTTGACAAAGCATGGATCTCTGCATCACTAGCTGCGATGCCGCAGGCAGCAGGACATTTGAACAGCAGCTGCATCGTCTGCTCAAGTCAGCTTGCGGCTGCTCGCTAGCAATTGAGCCCTGAAGCAGAGTTCAAAATATCAGCAATGGATTGTGTGGTTTATGCGTTCTTGCCAGTAGGGAGCTTGTCTGAACGGCGCGAAAAAGGCAAGCGAGCAGAATGAGCAAAAAACAAAGAGACTATCTGTCCCCCTAGAAACGGCGCCCCTCGCGTGCTAAAGGGCGTTGCCCTGGCACTTGCTCCGACAAAGTTGCAGCCCCTCACTGGCGCCAGTTTCGAAAAAGTGGGCTGGTCCCATTCCCGCCAGTCCTCCCTGTCCTCCCAGCGGTTATCTGCGGCTGGCGCCTGCCAACCTCGTTTTCTGTCACCCATGTGAGGGGGGCCCGGATGTCCCGTGATGGCCCTGACGTTGGAGTGGATCGTCTGGCCATGGGTGAATTTGAGACCTGCTGCCTTTTCCCGCGTAGCATGTTGGATGATGCAACGAGATGGATTGCGCACCTTCGCTTCCGAAGCATTGTAGATGGTTTGAAATGCCATGGCTAAGAGCTGAAGTCCGCATTGTTGACTCTCCTTTGCTGAAAGGACTTCCAGGTGCCACGTTGCAACGATGCATACAATCCGCCGACTGGTCGTCGGTTTGGGGAGGATGCGCTCCGAAGAGCCTGAGGTATTACGAGCTGGGTCGCGAACGGGCACTGTCGTCACCACGGTGATGACCCCCTCCTCTTTGATAACACTTCGCCCAGTTAACTGCACCTCCCACAACAGCAACAACAGCAACAACAACAAAAATCAAAATTAACAAAAAAACACAACCAGCACAGACAAAAGCCAGAGCAAGCCTTTCGTGCGACACACCAGCTTCCAGATGCAAGGCTCGGGTTCGGGCACCCACTTCTGCAGAATTGCCTGTGGCCCAGCCACCAAAGACTGAGGCCTTCCAGGTGCGAGATAGCCCATCTGTGATTTGGATCGTCGACATGCCTGGCATCCCAACTCGTCAACCTCGACCTTAGGGAGAGAAGCAGACATCGGGAGAGATGGCACTGCCTTGCTCTGAGCGTGCAGGCCCCTCCGACTCGGAGGCCGAGGCGATCTCGCCTTCCTCACCTCTGAAACACGCTGCTCTGACTCTGACGCTCTGCTCTGCTGTCTCTGCCCAAGGTCTCAGTTCTGCCGGTCGAGTCCCTGGCGTTCCTTTCTGGCTCGGCCCTTGCCCTTGGACTCTTGCCGCATGCGCTGCAGCGCCTCCCGCCAGTTTGAACAAGGTCTCTCTGAAGTGCCTCCGCAGAGTCCTTGTCCCTCCATCCCCCATCTGTTTGATTCTTCTTCTGGTCTTTCCCACAGCTCCCCTCAGCATGATTGCTGCTGTTCTGTTTTGTTGTCTTGTTTTACCTTTTCTTCCTCGGCTGCGCGGCAAGACTCGGTTCCCCTCAGTGCATTTCCAAAGGACACCCCACACGGATTTCGGGCGAGTATGGAGAAGGATCTTCCGCTTATCTTCTCCTAGAGCCGATCTGACATCCTTGTCAAAACAACAGGCCAATCACTCAGACAACGGGTTGCCTCTCGAGTCTTTTGCTCGGTGTCCTCAGCCGTACAATCACGTTCGGCCTGTTTTGTAGACTGCACCTTGTCACTTTGTAAGCCATGCCACAGAGTCCTCTTGAGACATTCAGGCTTTCCCTAGCAATGTTCAAAGTCAAAACCCTGGTAAAAGGAGTGCCTGACACAGTCTGAATACAAAATTGTTTCATGCAAAGACCCACACTGCACGAACAGCAGACATTCTGCATGTCTCCAGGGATCACGCCATCTGCCAACGTGAAAGCTTGTTTCCATGGAAGCACAACCTGGACCATGGAGCTCAAGTCGCAAGAAGTATCTCCCGTCGGGACAACTTGGCGGCTGCGGCGATTGCAAGTCTCCAGGACTCTAATTCTGCTCTTACATAAGCCATGTCGAACTTTGACGTTGAGGCTGCTGCGGAGCTGAAGACGACGAACTGTTGGTAAGGAGATCTTGAGTGTCCAGCAAAGGCATGAGAATCCTCGAGATGGCAAAGGATCAAGCCCACTCGAACTTGCTGAATCCAAGTTGTCGGCGGCGTCTTCTCTTTTGCCTTTGCAATTTCGGACTTTGAGTTGGGCAAGTTTGGACATACGACCTTTTGCAACTGTCACTTAACCCCACCTGGGCACTCGGTGCTGACGGAGCCTCACCTTCCGGCAACTGCAGCTCGCCGATACAAATTTCAGAAACCCAAAGCACTCCTCGATGGCTGAACCCAGCAGGCATGCGGCCGACACCTCCATGAAGCGAAGGGCACCAAGAACACCAAAGGACACGAAGGGAGACCAAAAGCACCAAGGGCAGTGCGCAAGTTTGTGTGGTATCTTGCCTGCAGCTGGGCTCTGGCATTGCTCCAACTGGGCGGAAAACCCGAACTGATCCAGCCTCGGCAGAAGTCAAATCTGCGGGTGTGCTCTGTATGATTAGTTGTGCATGGTATACAGGATACCGTTCACTGAAGGCGGAACAAACTTGGATGGGACGCTTGCAGTAAATGCAGTAAACCACGCGCAAATGACCACAACGCGCAAGTGACGACAAACAGTGCCTGCGGGAAGGGGAGCAGGGCGACAAGAAGGGGTGCCTCAGGCGCAGGCTAAACATAAGGTCTCAGGTTATCTTCCTTTCCTGATGCTCAGAAAGCAGTGGATTTGAGCGGCATGCCCAGGAGATGCGTCTGGGGAGCTTGTTGAATCCGTTGAGGGCCCTAGTCCAGCCTTCGAGTCAAGCCACAGATTGATCGAGTATGCTCAATCCTGGACATGCCTGTCGCGGACATCGCGGGCTCATAATCTGCGGGGCAAAATGCGGCGATGCCATGGGTCCACGCGCTGGTGCCTTTCGTATCAAGGCTTCCTGCTGGCATTGACATGATCCACGTCACGTTGAATCTCGGAATCAAGTGAGTTCCTGGTCCTCAGGACGCACACTGGCAGCCCGCTCCTCTGGTGCTTTGGAGGGTCGTGCCCTGATCGTGAATGCATGTGCGCTCGACGTCACCCGACACTCTGCCACAGCAACTCGCATCAGCTCCCAAGAATGTTAGATCGATGTTCGAGTACTTATGTAGCAGCAACGCACTGCCGGCCACTCTGCATACCCCCGAACTCCACGTTGATGCTTCGGCGGCCGTCTCCGTTCGTCTTGCCAAGCCATCTTCAGATATGTGCCAGTACCAGTAAGACTCAGTAAGCCACTTCATACATACATCGAAAATTTCTCTAGTTGGAATGCACTGATAATATTGTATCACTAAGACTGAACTAGGACATACCACATAAAATCGGAACCCTGAGCCAACCTTGGGCGTTGCATCTCCCAATTGATCCGAGTGTCGTTGCCACAGGGCTCATGGACACCTCGCTCTTCGCCACGCAGCATTCCAAGTACTGAATCCGCTCCTCGTCTTCGGGGTACAGGTAGTTGCTACGTGCCACGGTGCTACGTGGGCTCCCAACCTGCTGATCCCGAAGCCGTTGGACGGCGGTCTTCAAAACGCTGAGATCCTCCCGGACCTGGCTGAGCGAACTTCACGGAGACTTCACCAGGATGCCGCTGCCTGGAAGCTGCTCAAGGGCAGGAAAGACTGGCCTTGGAAAGCCGAGTCGCTGCTCTACTGCGACATGCCTGCTTGGAGAATTGAGGCGGGAGCTGCAGTCCTGGCATGAGACGAGGTCACCAGTGTGCCAGGCAGAGCCTTGAGGGACCTGGTCGAGCAGCGTGATGGAATGCTTGCATTCACTGCAAGTGCTGCGATGGCTAGCGGTCTGACATTCAATGAGCCACATGACGGACACGCGACCGGGATGCGCTTCAGAGCAGATTGCTGCCTGACAACAGTCTAGGGCCGGGGTTAACATGCCATGCAGATGCAACGGCACTGTCACAATCGAAAGGGCGTCCTTGCAATTCGCTCCAGTGCAGCGGTTGCGCGACTTTGCAGCACGGCCGTGTCCTTGGCAGCATCCAACCGATTCTTGAAAAAACCTAAGGCTCTAGGTTTGCCCATTATCAGCTCCGGACCGCCAAAGCCTTTTCCAGCTGGGCCAGGTGTGCACAGCCGATGCTGCTCTTGCCCTGCCCCTGGCCGATAGCACGGTGACAGGAAACTTTCAATCCCCGCATGCAGTCTGCAAAGTCAGAGGGGCCCCAAACTCATGCGAGTTCTGCTTGCAGCAAACAATCCACACTGTGTCTAAATATGGGCCGCTGAGCCCTGCAGGAACCTTCACACACATTTGGGGCCCCCTCCCCTCTCTGGTGACATGCGTGCCTGCACAGGAAGCTGCAAATCAGGCCGACTGCTCCCAGAAGACCTGAATCAACCACAAGGCCCACCTGGGGCTAGGGGTGGGCAGTGCCAAGCTGCATGCACTATGCCGGATGGAGGCGACTCCCTGGAGCTCCTTTTTCTGCCCGTCTCTAGCCTCAATGGAAAGTGACCATCTCGATGGGCAAGTGGCCGACATCCGCAAACCGAGACAAACTGACTCGCCTCAGCCAAGACTTAGGGCTAGAAGCTCTATGGGAAGCTTTGCCCCTGGGCCCGAGTCGTGCTGCCAAGTCACCCGTCCGGGTGAATGATGATCCTTTTCGAGACATCAATATCCGCAACAGACTGCTTACAAACATGCTGCCAAGCCTCCCCCGACACGACCACGTACGACGAGCATCACAGCTGGCTCGAAGCCCGGAATGACGAATCTGGCCCCATTGCCATGCTCTTGCATCCAAGCTTCTCGGTTATGCCTGCGTTGTCGCCCCTCAGACGAAGCCAAGCTTCTGGCGGAAGCTGAAGCGCACGCATTACCTCCAGATGCAAAGACTCCGAAAGCGTGGAGTCACGGTGACAGAGTCCTATGCCATTGACACCTGCTGAATCTGACCATGTCCGCGTGCCATATGCATGCACAGCTTCCTGACGACATTCCTTCCAAGCATGCCAAGCTTCAAAGTAGCGAATCAAGTTCATGTGACACACCTCAGCAGGCAGTGGAGTTATTCTTCCGTGCACGTGCCACACCCGAAGAGCAGAGTAGACACGAAGTTATGGCCAGACCAAGTCGCATAGATCTCGTAGACGCGCTGCGGCTCTGGTTCCTTCTCGCTCTCCGTCTTCTCTGCCTCTTGCTTTTCCGGTGGGACGTATCCTCAGGATATCTCAAGATAGCACTTGTCGATGTCCGGCTTGCGCCAACCGAAGGGCATGCGCTTGACATGCTTGTCCTTCTCCGAGCTCCTTCTTAAGCTTCTTCTCCCTCTTGGCTTCCTTTTCGGCCAGCCGCTTGTGGTCAACAGCGCGGTGCACGAACTTCCTGCGAGTGTTCACCAATGGTGAAAAGAATTTGTTGATGTGCTTCAGATGCCAAGAGCCGCTCGAGTTTGAAAATTGCAGTTCGTGGAAGAACATGAGACATGTCGAACTGGAAACACAAAAAGACTCAAACGATGGAGCTGGAGACATCTGCAGACATGTTCAAGAGTTTTCGGCCTGAAGCCCGCTTCCATGCGCACAGAATCTTCCCAGATGTCGGCAGGTCGTGCTGGCTGCTGCGAGGTGGGATGGGGCACAGTTGGTTTCCCCTCGGCCAAAAGGGGATCTGGGTCTTGCACTGGAACATCCGGCAAGTAGCTGGACAGAATCTCCGCTGTCTGACGTGCTCGGGTAACAGTGCTGACCCAGATGCCACTGTATTGCACTTGAACCTCTCCATATCGATCTTTCTTCAAACCGAGTCTTTCCGATAGGAGCCTGCCAGGTTTGCTTAAGTTCTGGGGCGTCCTGCACTCGACACACTCAACAGCATCTTTCGCCTCTGACCAAGCTTTGCTGACTGCTCACGGCCCAGGTCGGTCAGCCTTGGCTTTGCAAGAGCCCTGCACTTTTCCTGCAAGAAACTGAAACAGACAGATGCCATGTTTTCCAAACATGAGCCGGTCGGCCCATGTTCGTCATCATCCAAATTATACTGCCCGTGCCGGATGAGCAAGAGATGACGAATCGGCCCTGTTGTCTTGACCGGCGTGGTGGAAGACGTCGGCGGAGCTCGCCCGTCCCAATCACTGTTCCATCCTCGCTGCCAGAGCGAGCTCGCATCTGAGCATTTGGAAGGGTCCTTCCACCAGTCCTTTTCTTCACAGCCAGGTCGTGCTCTCTTCCCATACTCCGAGTAGTAACCCAAGGTTAAGCCTGCTCCAGCCAAGATCACTGCAGGATTCCAGTGCCGATCTTCGGCTGTGAAACTGGCAGAGCTGGAACAGGCTCTTCCCTTCTGAAACCATCGCGACACTCGCACCTCGGCCTGCACCCAGGGCCGCAAGGCACTCAAAGGCTGCGGAAGGCGTGCCATGGTTTCTTCCAAGGCAGTCTTTGTCCTTCCGATGCCTCCCCAGCTCTGGCTGACTCTAGCTGCTCTGCTGGCTGCGGTAGACATTGAAGTTGCGAGTTTCAGACATGTTTCCAAGCTCTCAATCGGTCACCTGGCTGCAGGGCCTGGTGTCTGCATCGAAGCTGCAGCCACGGCTTCGTCCGGCTGCAGCATCCGCATCCTGCAGCTCGCAGGTCCAGTCGGGTTGATGGGCGTCGTGCTCTAAGATCCGGTCCGTCTCGCGGGGACCTTGGGGGTCCGTGTCTAGGCGGCTTGACCTCGGCAAGATAGATCCGACAGACACCGCTCCAGGCAAGGGCGTAAGCAAGCGAGGCTCTGGCGATGCTCGTTCCAGCGCGTCTAGCCGTTGCGTATTCAAAGTCTCCATGGCCAACTGCCCCCTGGCTCCGATGGAGACCCTTTGTGGTCCCTCCCTTCAGAGGGCTTTCTCGCATTGCATTTCTGACAAAAGACGTGTACGGTGCACAGGCTGTGTAACAAGCCATGCAAGTGCCAGGCGACATGTGCATACCGCACGGTTTGCAGATTGGGACAGTGCGATAGACGGAACGACTGACACGAGAGAGAGGGAGAGGGAGCGCGACACATGCAGAGATAGCCAGCGTGTTGCGGATGCTCCGACTGTCATCGCAGTTGGCACTGTCACATGTATCACACGACAGAGACTCTTGGCAGCCCAATCTGACCTGTGCACGCTCGAGTCAAACTAATTTCGGCGAGAATGATGGTTCGGTCTCTTCCGGGGACCCCGAGTAGGTGAGCGACGCGACAGCCTATCTGGCTTCTCGTGTGTTCGTTGTTCGTACTCCGAACACAATTTTGCAAGCACTCGCGCAAGTCAGGGTTGCCTGACTCACTGACAGCAGGGCCTGAAGGGTGCTGTAATGCACGGGCTGCGCCAGTAGACGTTCACAACGCATCCGGCAGGATCGAGAGAAGCGTGCCGTCGGGGTCTCGCGCCCCAGAAGTGCAGCACAATCAAAATGGGCCGTAGAGTCGCAGAGCAGCCGAGTACTATTTGTGTATGTTTGAACATTGACCAAGCACAGCGTGTCTGTCGCGTAACATTTACTGCCCGCAGGTTGGGCTGCAGGAGCGCAGGATGGCCCGGGCCTCGCTGGTCGCAGCAGCCATCTCGCGGAGCGAGCTAAGCAGCTTCGGCTAGTTCTCTCTACAGCCAGGCTGTGATTGAACGTTTCGGATGCACTGCCACACCCAAACACCTGGAGCCACATATGCCTTGACCTAAGAGCAGCGACAGTCCTGAAGCCAAATTGTCAATGTGCAGGTCTTGCGACATCCCTCAGGCAGCTGCGGCATTCAAAGCTGAACCTTTTTTCGCCTCGCGTGCCTACCCCATCTCAGGCGAAGACCTGTCCCCACCGTCGAAGCTTTTGCTTCCCGAATCGTATGATTCTGTGCTCCCATGCATGTGCACGGGTTTGGCTGCCTACTTTGCAGGCTGTGTGCCAGGATGCAGTGCAGTGTATGCTCAGGCGAACTGCCCAGAGATCCACTGTAAAGTACACACCGCCGCAAAAACTTTCTAGTGTAGCGGCTAACGGCATCACGACACAAGCAACATGGATCACTCAAACCTGGCCGCACATGCGTGCATCCCCATTGCGCGGCCAGGCTCATGACCATTCCCCATGGTTTGCCGAAGTAGACATCCGGGCAACACTGTGAAGCAAAGTCCGAGGCCCCGAACATTTCGATTGGCTGCTTCCCGAGCTGCCATCCACCCTGGCAGGGGAGCGCGGGGTTACCACACGTCTTGTGACTGAACGGTCCGCGTCCGGTCGTGCCTGCCCCCCTCGTTTCCCAGGAGAACTTCGTGCTTCTGCCAGAGATTTGCGCTCATTTCATCCGACGTCACGGCAGACTCACAGCAAAACGACCAGGACTGAAATCCATAGTATGCAGGATCAACAAGTCACCGGCAAGCTTGTACTGTACGGTGCCAGCAGTTGCTGTTGCACTTCATATCATTACGAGACTGGCACGGCATGGTAGTCGCCAAAGGCCTTTAATTTCAGCACAAGAGTCTTGGGATGGAAGGGTCTTGATGGCGTGGGCATCCTGCCATCTTGTGCGTCAGACATTCTCTGTAGTAGCACATGCCGGCCAAAGCTGTGGTGCAAGATCTGGTTGAGCCCTCACAATTCTGCACTCTCATTTCTGCCCAGGTCAAACAACAGCTCAACTCTTAACCGTTCGGCAAAAGTCCCTTCTGCGAATCTCAAGTTCGGCCCACGATGCCTCCGTCGACACGGTGGCGCTTTGTGGTTCCTTGCGGGGGCAAAACGCGCGACAGGCTGAGAACCATGCCACGATGTGCCCAGGCAGCAGGCGGCTATCCGGAGCAGGGCTTGCGACGGGCTCCTCAATTGTAGCCTGGGTTGTTCGACTTGCGATGGCGGGATCCTAGCTACCTTGCATACGGCCAAATAAATATGCTTTACGTTTCGTGATGTTTCGTGCACTGTCAAGTACATGTCAGAAGCACGAGTGCACAGCATACACAGCCAAGTACATCTCACAGGTACAAGTCGAAGTATATGTCCAAGAGACAGCTACGGCAAAAGTACTGCACGATCCCTCCCAATCTACAAGAAAGGAAAGGCAAAAGAGTGCCGAACAACCCTCAATCAGTCCGTGTCCCTTCCAGTTCAGCACCGAATCCGGAACTCTGGATTCCCCTCTTTGCGGAGGCGGGAGCCCCGAACTAAGAAACACAGTGCGGCTAAACTTATCGAAACTTCTTGTCTCTGGCCTCCTAGTAACTAGGCATCACAACACAACAAAAGAAACCAAGTGCACGTTCGCGGTTCAGGCTCAAGCATGTCCGAGCGCTTTAAACTTCACGGTGGTCACTGGGAAGACGAGGCGGAAGGGAACGCTGCAGAATAAGACTGTAAGGGGTTGGGGTGCTCAGGTTTCTCGTTTCGAACGCTTGTGTTCCTGAAAGATGTCAGAAGGAGAAACTTGGAATCTCGCCTCTCGGACACTCTAGGTCCTAGGCGGTTTGAGGTGATGAAAGGAAGAGACTGGATGGCCATCACAACAAGCATGGACTGGCTTGCTTTGGAACGAGGGGCGAAAGTAGCACGCACTCAGCTAGATTCTAGACTTTTTCAGCTGCAGGGGGCCGCAGCAAGTTTACATAGCAGACGAACCCACAAAACTATCCAGTTTTGCAACAGCGTTTGTAGCAGAACATAAGCTGGCCAGGCAACACTAGCGCCATCCGTGGCTTCTTCCTCCTCTTCTTCTTCCGATTCGAGCTTCCACTGCACCTCATGCCTGACGCATTGTGATCACATATGCATCAAGCATGCAACAGGCTGCTTTTTCTGCTCTTGCTTCGGCAAGCCGATAGGATTTGTCCCTCCAGCCTTCGCTTCGTGGCCGCAAGGAACTGCTCACGTCGATCCAAAGGCATCTCGGCCACAATAACGATTCACGATTGCCGGTAGCATTTACAGAGTATCAGCAACATCTGCCTCGCAGTCTTTGTCAGGGACCTCTGGTATCCCTGTGCCTTCCTCTGGCACAGAGGATCCAAGGATGCCCTGATCTAGCAAGAGACAAAAACAGTCAGGAACGGCGTGCAAGACCCACAGGCTCGCAGTCAGCCTCAGAAGGCCGTGAGTCAGAAGGCCGTGAGAAATAGCTCCTCTCTTCCGGCCTCTCAAGCAGGATAAGGAGGATTTCGGAAATGCCAAAGCGCCACGTCGAAGACATGCCTTCCCGCATGCGCATCATCTTCGATCGGCCTCTGCCTGGACTCCTGCGGCACACCCGGCAGAACGGAGCCGCATCTTCGTCCACACAATCACGAGCCATTATTCGGATCAACGTTTACACTTGACACCTTTTGCTGAGAGCACTCGGCCACCTCTTGGAGGTTGAGACTTTGTACTCAAAAGACTTGCGATTGTCTTTTCCGAATTTTCACAGGTCCAGGAATTGGCCACAACAGCACACTGGCCTGTTCGAGATTTTGGAACACGTCCCGGGCTCATAAGGCAAGAGGAAGCTAGCCATGCAACGGCGTACCTACGACCTGCGAAAATGTGTGCAAGAGGACTCTCCGAGAAGCCCCGTTTAGCACGAAACATCACACGTCATGATCTACTTTCTAAAACAGCTTGGGATTGACCAGTCCTGCGCTTTTGGGGCTTCACTGGTCAGTGGGCTGATCTCTTGTCACAGCCTGCTCCTTCGGAGCTCCAGAGGAAGCTCGTGAAAACCGTCCGGTGGCATTAAACGCTGTGCTGCGCACATTCCATGATTGTAGACTAGTGGATTCAGTGGAAACTTTTGTCAAGACCTTGGTTGCTCAATCCCACAGAAGGCAGCACCAAGAGGCCGGGCCAAGGCAATAAAATGGACAAGGTCCGCGCGTGGTGCACCAACTTCGACAAGGATTCGATCTCCTCGGCTGAATCTCGCATGCATGTGACAATAAACCGCAGCATTTTCAGATACTGATCGCGAGAGGTTGGTGCAGTTTACCGTCATCTCATCGCAGGGTCTTCTCTCGAAACCTAATGCTTCACCGCTTGGCTGGGCATGGACAGTGTATTTGTCTGACCGCTGCATCTCTCACCTATTTCATAGAAGCGAGTGCCCCAGCACACACAACACAAGGTGAAATATTGCAACCTACTAGGTAGGCTTGGTACAGGGTAGCGCGTGGCCGCGGGTTCGAATTGTACCTCAAACTGAACAAGAACAGCTCTGACAGCGTATGCTCAATCTCAGGTCCATTGCCGAGGTTCGGCGTGGCGGCGTGAAACACTGCACCAATCCCAAACTCTTGCTTGCTTGCTTGCTTGCTTGCTTGCTTGCATGATCTTGCTTACAAGGGGAGACCCAAACTCTTCTTCAGCACAGCTAGAGGAAAGCGGCACTCCGCCCCCCCGCGCGTGCGCGCGCACTGGTTCTTTGAGGTCTGTACGAATTTGCGTGCTGAGGTGAGGCCGAGGTCTGGACGCTCTGAACCCCCTGCCCAAACTCTCTCACTCTCTCTCTTTCTCTCCCTCTCTCGCTCGCTCTCGCTCTCTGTCTCTCCCTCCCTCCCTCTTCTTCAGGACAGCCGAAGGAGAGCAGGTAACCCACCCTCCCCGCGCGCTCTGTTCTTCCAAACAGCCACGGGACAGTGCAAACACCGCCCCTGCACACGCAGCGCACGTCAGCACTTGCTGACAGTGTTCACAGGACCACAGTCAAAGTAAGGCTGCCGATCTACTCAGAAACAACTAAATGCAACAGGCACTGACTCCCCTAGCTCTAGTGACTCTAGTGACCGCCAACATGCAGCGCGTGCTCCCGGGCCATATCACGGCATACGGCATACATGTGTTGCCTTGCCGTGCCGATCAAAACCTGCCGCATGCAACCTTCTACGTCAATGGCTCCCATCCTCGCTCTCTCTCTCTCTCTCTCTCTCTGTGCCGCCACGCAAACATCGTTCCGTGTATGCGAAGATGCAGTTGGTGTATCACCGCTCACCGCAGTCACTCTGAAACACAACTGAAGCTTTCTGGCCAGAGTTCAAGTTGCAAAATCTTCATGTCGAGGCTTCTTGCCTTAGCATATCGTAGCCACACTTCTGCATGTCACCATCCCAAGTCACATTTGAGCACGTAGGAATGATCCCGACTCTCCGGAGAGCTTCGAAAAACTTCACATGCCACACACACACACACACACTCACACACACACACACAACACTGGAATGCTTAATGGCGGCCTCCCCCTGCAGCTTCCAGCAGCCATCGACGAACTCGCTGTAGCTGACTTCGCCTCAACCCGTGCAAACCGCTGTGTCTCCCTCTTGCATAAGCCCAAAAACCGATGGATTCCCCTTGTTTATGTGCCTGAGCCATCGAAGTCGAGGAGGGCAAACAAGTACTCCACTTCCCCTCAGCGCCCCGGTAAGCTCAGCACGATGTCAGGTGCTGCGCTGCAAAGAACTGACTGCAACCCTGGCTCGGGCATCCAATTTCATGGCATTGAAGTAAGCCTGCACTCGTTCGTCTTGAAGTGTGCGCTCGAACTCCTCTTTGCTAATGGTCCCGCTGTCGTTGGCATCCATTTCCTGAAGCTCGTGCTTTCATCAGGTCACAAGTTCACAAGCCAACTATCCCGTCAATGCTGCGAGTACACATTCACCTGCCGAGGAACATCAAATACTCTCTGAAGTTCATGAAGGAACTGTGTTTTGGTCTGCAGCTCTTCTGCGATCACATGCTCCCGATCTCTCTTGCCGGAGTTGCGAGCATTTTCCAGGAAGATACCTGGCACATGTGAACCAACGTGGCCCAAGAGCGCACTGCAACTTGTTTTAGACTGCTGGTGCCTGTGACGACATTTGCCAAGGCATAAATGCTAAATGTGATGTACAGGAGGAAGAAGGCCATGTAGATGTCAGGAAGCGGGCGCATGGCCTCAGATAGCATAGACACTTCACCAGTTCGCAACAGCGAGAGAATGTGGCACAGCAGAAGCGCCAACCTTGCGACACCATGAAGTCACGGCACATCATACTGCACCGACCTCGGACAGCATAGACACTTCAACGGTCTGCGACAGTGACAGAACGAGTATTGTGCAGGACCAGCTGTGCTACACCATGAAGTCACGGCACCAGTCGGTGCCACCGGTCATGGCCATGTAGAGATTGATGGTTGAGCGGTCCAACGTGCCAAAATGTTCAATCAGCACACTGTTTGCAGGATCGCGTCGTTGCACTGCTGTGTCCAAAGTCGAGCCAACCGCAGATGTGAACATGACGGAGAACATGCCCAGTATCAGGCACAGAACTGCCACAACCCAGACCAGGGATCGAATGCAGCTGATAATGGAGTGCATCAGAAGCCTAAGCTCCTGGAAGGTTCTCATGACCTGAGATGCTGTCTGACACTGCCTACTTTCTTCTAGATGTGCCGGTCCTAAAGCATGCAACGAGAATGGTCAGACCAGCCGGCAATGCAGATTCAGCACAGTGTGTGTGTTTTTGCTCGGCTTAGCTGCCAAGTGCCAAACTGAGCTGGAGACGCGTAATCTCGGCTCGAAGCATCTCTCTAAAGACTTCAACCCTGGCCGAAGTCGACGGGGCCTGCAGAAGCCGCTGGCAGGGCCGCAGCACCTCTTCCCAGAGCTCGGCACGGGCTGCGCTATCCGCCTTCTCTGCGGCTGAAGCCCAAGCCGCGGCTCCTTCTTCATCGCTCTCAGTGCTCTTCGGATCCCAAACCTTCGCCTTCCTCGACTTTGCCAGCTCCGTGGCCGAGCTCCAGCGCGCTTCCCCACGGCGTGCTTCGGCACGCCAGGTGCCCAGCGTGCGCCAGCGCCGCGCAGCTTGCCAGATCGACGCCGCGGACCGTGACGTTCTTGCTGGGGGAGGTGCAGCCAACCGCTGCCAGACGTCCCCGTCATCCCAGGTCAAGACATCCACAGTCTCATCGGCTCCATAAGTTAAAGTAGCTGAAAAAGGCTGGGAACCGAGCTGCACCGCAAGTTGGCCGTTGCTTTGAACTTCCAACTTTCCCAGATCTTGAACTACCATGCCATCTATTCGGATCCGTACCCCGCTTTTGGCACGCCACAAACCCTGGACAGCTTGGACAGGCGGTGGCAAAGGTGGTTCCAGGATCAACGCCGATCTCAAACCGTCTCCCTGCGATCCGCGCTGCTGCTGCAGCCTCTCCAGCTCAGAAAGCTCTTCTGACAGTGCATCAGCAGCATTCAATGCTTCTTCGCTTTCATCCCAAAGCAGGTCAGCCTCTGCCCGCAGAAAGTCATCGGCTGGAAGACAGCGGCGAAGCCGAGCCCTTCCGACTGCAAAGTGCAATGCCAGATAGCCTTGCCCCGACTCCACCAAGTCCTCCAGATATAATAGCGTCGCATACGCAGCGATCTGGTTCTGCTCTTTGTTGTACAGAACTGCCCCTAAATAACGGCCACCAGCTGCCTTCAGGGATTTTGAAGGATTACCCGAGGAAAACGCCATCTGCGTGTCACTGCGTTAAGCTTAAGCAGACACCAGACCGTCAAGCCCAGGAGCCAGCATAGAATCATAGAGCTTTTTGGTGGACACATCGGCAACTGGCAAAGCTACAGGTGCACCTGGCAAGTAGACATCTTCCACCAAAAGCAGGGGGATCTCAACCTTGCCTTCTGATTCCAAGCTTGTCTCTTTTGGCAGCCACTCGACATCATCCAGGGTCGCTCGCTTGACCATTCTCCTCCTTCCATGCTGAAGGCGATGTGCAGCTGGTTGGACGCCAGCACTGACAAGGCCACCAGCAGCCAGCACGGTTGCTGTCGTACGGCGACGTGGCGCCACCGAAGACGGCCGCGCCTGCGTAACGCGTGGAGCTGGAAGCTGGAAGCCAGACGACTCATACCTGAAAACCTCCATCGCGAAACAATCAGAGTCACGTTTCCAACTCGTGGTTTTCCTATTGGTATACTCCTAGTCCTGGCTTTGAGCCTGACTGCCCGCTGCAGCGTGCAACCTCTCTCTTCTTCCACACAGTCAAGAGCACGGCAAGGCACCGCACTCTGCGCAACCTCTCTCTCTCTCTCTTGAATGCCCGGCAGGTCGTCGACAGGGACCTCTGACTGTAAATGCAGCAAAGCTGCGCGAATCATCTTGGCCACTCGAATGACCCGGATAACACGTATTACCCGAAGGAGGCTGAATTGAACCCAGACTTCCAGGAAGATGCTCACCTCACGGACAAGATGCTGAAAGACGACGACAATGGTAGAGTTGGACAACAGCACCCGATACATCGCGATTGAGAATCTCTACCCATGACACCCGGCACTTTTCAGAGCAGATGCATCACATGCTGTACAGCCAAGGATCCAAGTCAAAAGTAACCACCATGAGATCCAACCTCGCGCACTGTCGAGCAATCGCGGCATGTGTTTGTAGCCCTTTCTCAGCCGTGACGGTGGTACAGATTTTTCCGAACTCAGAAACCAGCCACAAAAAATGCCCAACTCTGGCAGAATGTCTTACCAAGGTTCCAATTCCAAAAAGCATTCGGGTTGGAGCAGCTGAAGAGATACCATCCGTCGGACATGAACCGAAGTGCGAGCTCCTCAGCGAGTCAGCAAAGCAGAAACCAACCCAAATGCGATGCCCACTTGAACCAAGTTGCGGAGGAAAAGCATACCAGGAAGATGCCCTGAAGAACGGTGAATTCGAAGGGTTCTGAGACGACCCTTGGCTCGGGTACGGCTACTGAAAAGCTCAAGACATTCCACGGCGATGCCCACTTGGGTTTATACTATATATTATATTAAACTCATATTATTACATTTTACTATATTATATATTATGTTACATGTTGTTATATTATATTATATTATACATTAGATTATATCATTTCTAATTATACTATACTCTATTACAGCATATTATATTATTTATATTGAGTTTGCCCAATGCAGCCAAGGCTGCAACTCCAAGCCTTCTTTGGCGCGAAACTCGTCATCCAAGGCTTTGGCTTGCGTTTGCCAAGCCACAAATAAGCAGTTGAGGAGGATGAGGAACCCACTGACGGACTCAAAAGTAGGAGATTCCGTGAGTCGCTGAATCTTACTCTGCTTCTCGAAAACTTTCCGTCGGTTTTCATGAGCGATGAAATTGGACTTTCGAAGGGCAGGGTTGCTCCTGTTGCGAGCTCCCATCACGCCCTCAGAGTCTCCAGACTGCAGCGTATGCAGTGACTGCAGCTGTGGGGTCGTGACCAGCCCGTCCGGAACGCCTCTCGCAATGCCAACGAGTTGCACCGTGACAGCGTCTCGCTAATGGCCTCAAAGTATGCACTTACAGCCGGCCTGGCAACACGTTGGGAGGCTCATCGTCATTGGACCATTCCTGCACATCGAGCGATGCCCATATAAGGGAGCAAACAAAAAACGCCCAACATTTCGGCGGTATGGCGCAGCCTTGGAATTACTCAGCTTCACATGGTGTGCGACATCTGTGCTGCAGGACCCGGTCACCGCCGAGGGTCCTCACAGTTCGCAAAAAAAACCCGATCTCTCGATAACGTAGCAGGGACAGTATCTCACTCGTCTTGCCAAAGCGTCCTGGATCGCCCAGAGGCTGACCCTCTTCAATTTCAGGCAAATCTTCGGCCGGCAACTGCGCACTTCTCCTTCTTGAGCTGTGCGGCACAAGTCCTGGCAGGCAATTAGAACAGATTCTCGAAGCTCAGAAATATTGCAGCCGTGCCTTTCCGAAGTTGCGAATCTGAGGTCTGCTTGGCTGCCTCTTCCGGTGCCACGTCAGCCGGTCCTTGACAAAAGGACAAAGTTAAAGGCTAATTACGTTCCAAATTCAGCTGGATGCAACTAGCTTGTGTCCTGCTTCTCCTGGACCTTCCACTGGGTCGATCGGCGATGCCGTCTCTGGTTCCGCAGCCTTCGTGTCAGCTTGAACTTCCTGTGCTCCGCCTTCCGAGGCGTCGATTGGCGGCCCGCTCGGTGCTACCAGCTTCGTGCCACTTTGAACTGCTCCTTCTGGGCCTTCCGGGTCGGTACGGGATGCCGTTTCTGGTTCGGCTGCGTCAGTTTGCAGCGAGCGGGGTGGAGGCAATGTTGGTGGCAAGGCAGTCGGGGGCAGAGGAGCATCGCTCATCTCGGTGAATCGTGCATTCTTGGCGGAGGGGCTCATAACAGCATCGATCGGAGGAAGCCGGCTTTGACGGCTTGGAGCTCGAGCCAATGGGGGGTTCGGCACCGCATCCGCAAACTTGCTCTCGGCCAGTGTCAGTTGACCTAAAGACGACAGGATGGACATGCCCAAAAAGCACTCCGGCTCAAGCAAAAGATCCACTCAGCCAGGTGCTCGCCACAGCTGGCGCCTGAAGCACGGATTACGGAGGCCATCTCCGTGCTTGTTTCTCCAAGTGCGGTGTGCTGGAACACGAGTATTAGCCAGAAGCGTGCCTGCTGCACGAAGTCTGCGAAGCACCTCTGAATGCTTTCCTGGTGCTGCTGGCAAACTTCCGCGAGCTTCATCTCCAGCCTCGATGCAAATCGGGCCATAGGACGATTCATGGCACGGGGGCTAGGCTCCGCCGGGCGGCTCTTTCCAGCGGTCTGGGTCCGGGTCCGTGCCGCCCGCACCCATGGCAGACATCAACATGTCGCTTAAAGAGATATGCCCTAAGCCTCGTATAAGCGTGTACAAGGTACCCTGCAAAAAAGCGCACCACAAGAAAGTACGGTCCTCTTGACACGCGCAGCACACTCGGCAAAAAACTCGAGCCCGGGTTTCGCCACGCAGAGTTTGGTCACTTTCCAACTCTTGTCCACCTCTCAGCATCCCTCGGCTCTGGTGTCAGGGGGGCCATGCCACCTCAGACCGAAGACATGCTACGTGAGCAAGACCCTGTGTAGGCCCGCAAAAGCCCATTTCCATGAAGCATGGAGATCGAGACCAGGGACGGGGACGGCCCTGCTTCCAAGAAACCTAGATAGACCACAGACGTCACATGGCTTCTCTAGATCAGCGCCACTGAGGTGTCCTTGACGTCGCTCAGCATCTGGTACCTCGATGCTTCACGGGTGTCTGGTATGCACGATGGGAAGGAAATCGCATGTGGCGCACAGCCCTTGCAGGAAAGAGCTCCCCAGGTTGCTCAGATCCTGTCAACTTGCTGGCATAAACGCGCTTGAGGCGCACACACACACACACAGAGGTCTCAGGCGGAGACCACAGCTTCAGGGGCGTCGACTCCAAAGTGGTCTGCAAGTCCCATGAGCAACTCCTGGCTTGCTTTGCACATGCTCGCGCATTGCGCGAAGGACCCAGAGCGGTCCTGCAACAGGTCGGCCTTGTCTTCCAGAGTTTGCCCGAAGCCTCGTAGGTCTGTGGCAGCACAACGAAGTAAAGGTGCCTCTGACCCTAAGCCCCAGGGCAGTCTATCTCCTCGTCGCGCCTGACAAGCAGAGGACAACTCTGGCTCAGCTTGGCGGAAACACGTCTTGCATCCGGCGCACGGCATTGGAACGTATTTCAGCAGAGCCGAGTGCAGCAATAAAACCTTCACACCAAAAGACAAGCATGGAGGTGAAGATAAGTGATGTTTCAACGCCCTGCGAGACAGCACCTCCTTGCCCTCGCATCGCGTCATCAAGTCGGGGACCTACAGGAGGACCACTACAACTTGCTTTGGCAGAGTCGAACATGTGCTGCCTTATCCAGCTTGCTGTTGTCACATCGGCGGTAAATCTTCTGCAGCCTTGCAGAGTCTAGTCTCGGAATCTTCGCAACTCAGCTCACGCAGCCTGAGAGCCCCGCAGCCACTTCACAGCTTCTCTTGCCAAAACCACGTCCTGCTCAACAGCCCGGTACAAGTCTTCCTAGTTCAAGCACTTCAAGATTCTTCTTCTTTGCAGATGAAAAACAACCTCTCGTCAAGTAGCAATGTCAGTGATATCATCCCTTGCACAAGCTGTGCTTCGGTGCAGCGTTGCTGACCGGTGTCGCTTCTTCCGCGAATCATTTCGGGAATCTTTGGCCGTATCCCTGGGCATCGTGGACTCGTGCTCAGCGCGTTGGAGGTGTGCTTTTTTGTAGTCATCAGATGCATACAACGCCTCGTACCTCGCCTGCAAGACAATGCCCAGAAGCCATGGAGCCGGTGAGAAGCCGGGATACACCCACCCGGTCCAAAACAAAGGCACAAAAAAGCTCGCACTCTCAAGAAAACACTTTCACAGCAATGGCAAAGGAAGGGGCCTCCAGGTTAGATATAGGACAGTCAAAACTTTTAAAAAACAGTGCCTCAGCCGCATAGGATCAAGCTGAAAGTCGAGCCCGAGTGCGGGGCCTCGGCATCTTCGTGTCGAGAGTCCTCCGCAGACCGCCTGGAAGCTGTGGCGGACCTGAAGCTCAACCCTGTCCTCATAGATTGCTACATGCACGCACGCATGCTTTGAGCTGTAATGATCTGCAGAAGCCTGGCGCTCTGAAAGAGGCTTCAGTTTGAGAACAGCAAAATCCAATCGCACTGTTTATCTCGCCACATATCGCTCAGCACAAGCTCTGCGTACAGGCCAGGCATCATTGAGAATCTATGTCTTCAGCTAAACCTCGGCGGTGTAGGAAGAAGGCGCTGACATTGGGAGCGATACGTACTATCGACATCCAAAAGACAATGCACCGTGTGCGGGAAAGCAGCTGTAAAGCAGTTTTCGAGCCTGTACTCGTGAAAATGAGCCTGACCTGCCGGGCAGGTATTGACCACTCCAACCGCCACAAGATTTGGTTGAACTTCACGGCCTGAACAGATCTTGACTCCCTGTCCAAGATTGTTCTCCGGATACTTTATCTTGAGCATGCTCCTTAGCGCTCTCTGCGCTGAAATTGCACTGTCTACACATCATGTACTGGCTTGGTGCTGCCCCGGCTGTGTGAAATGCTGAAGTCTGAAGTGCAGATCCCAGCGGCTGCTCAGGGCAGCCTACGTAAGAGGCCAAGGTTGGATCTCCGCATATGCTGTATTCAACCTCACAAGGACGCTCGACTCTCGCCCACTGCACCATCTGGAGCTGCCTCGCCGTAATAGCTGCAGCTACTCAACATTACTCAACCCTGGCCTTTTCGCCAGTGGCTGCAAAGGCCACGATCACAAGGTCCAGGAGGGAAAACCTCACTTGGTCGCCGCCCGTGAGAGGGTACTTCGTCCCAAACCTTGCAGCTTGTCATGGCTTGGAAACTGGCATGTCGCATGCCAGAATGAACAACTTTGTCCCCGAATTATCGGATCAGCTGGATCATGCTTAGCAAGCGGCTGGCCAGCAAGCCAGAACAAGCTCGTGTCACCTCAGCTGTCGCAGCAGCTCAAGCCTGCAGAGCAGCTGTCGCGACGCCTCCAACCCACCCGTTGCAGCAAACAGCCTTGCTTCTGGAAAGTTTCCGGCAGGGCAGGAGCATGCCGATCAAACTTCCAGATCTGACTAAGAACGGACGTTGAGTACCCTTGCATGGCTGGCGTATCGACTTCAGCGCCGACAAATTATGTAGACACAAGTGCCCCACCCGCCGGCCTGCACGCGGAAATCGAACGGCGCCCGCAACATCCACAGTGGTGGCCACGAGTGTGCCACATTCATCACCAGGATTGGCAAAGGTAGCATTGTAAAAGGTGACAGACTGGAAATCTGTGAAACCACTCCTTGCTTGCACAAGCCCAGTCATACACTGCGCAGTCTACCAGTCTATCACTCCCAAAGATTCTGAACCTGGTGCCAAGCATCTCTTCATCCGAACAGCTGGTCATGGGCCAGTCAAAACGAAACCGACCAAGTGCCTCAGGACACCATTCACATTACCGTCCCCTTTGCGAACGGCTGCACAAGGCCGAGTGGCTATGCTCAGCTCGTGAGGGTCACCCACCCAGCCAGTCTTTCCGCGCAGGAACTCCATGACCCCTTGGTAGACATGGGGGTGAAACATCGGCTGATCCGATGCTCAGCTGAGCCAAGCCGCCCTGGCTGTTGAGGGCCACCTGGAACATGAAACCCTTGGGTGGAACGCCCGTCTGGTCCTCAGGGTGGCTCTACGAAGAATCTGACAAAGCCACGCAAGCGATCAGTCCTTGTAACTTGTACGGGAACTTGTCGGTGACGGGACGACACCGAACCTCGAAGCCACTCAGCGCCTATAATATAACTCTAGTGAGACCCTAGGACCCTAGGACGGGCGGACAGCGCAGGTAGCAGCCCGGCAAACGGCATTTTTTGCTGTGGCCGCCTCCCCGCAACCCTTCCACCTCCTGACTCGTCCTCCTTCCCCCCCCCCCCGTAAACAGTAATCCGCTGATGCTGATGATGCACGCCCGTTGCGTGGTACCAACTTCGAGAACATGCAAAACATCGCCCTGCGCCTTATAGGCCGCTGCCATGATGCTCGCTGGATGCTCCCCTGAGTTCGTTTACGGGTGCAGCTACAAAACCCGCGATACAGCACCGCTGGGAATAGCCGAAAAAACAGTGCGTTGGCGGGTATAAGCCTCCAAACGAGGAAGCGGGGTCGAATCAGAGCAAGGCCCCGTGCTAGTCCAGGCCCTTAGGGGCCCCGCTGATTCTCATGATGCGCGATCTGCGGTGTGCATCATGAGCCCGTCGCGGGCGGAAGCAGCTTCATCGGACTCGGGTCTGCTGCACTGCGCCGTCCAAAAACGTGCCCGGAATGTGGCACAGCACCTTTGCGCGTTTCCGTGCCTGTGACGCCGCAGGGGCGCGCATCACGAGCATCAGCAGGACCCCCGGAACGCGGCGGAGGAGGGTCGACAGCACTGGCGGCCCTCCTTTCGAAGGCATCGTCTTTGCAAGAGCTTCGCCTCGCGACCCAAAGGGCCGCACTCACAGAAAGGGCCCCCTCCTCTGCTCGCTACAACGCCAGGCTTGCAAGCTACACTCCGCCTGAGGCAGCGGCACATGGCCCGGAGACCGCGCGCTGCCCGATTTCAGACGCTCTGGTACTGAGCCCGCGGCACGAACTCTGCCGCCGACCCGCTCGAATGCGCAATCGCTTCAGGCACAGTGGAAGTCGATGGCATGCGGCCCACATCAGTCTGTGGAAGGAATGGTGCACCACTCTCTGGTAAACCATCCAATGGCACAGGTGGCAAGGACGTTGCATCGAAGGGCACCTTCAACAAGTCGCACAGCGTTTCGCTCCCCAATTGAACGCTGTGCTGCTATGCGCTGCAATGGCACGACTTGCGCGGGCGGCACATCCAACGCTTCCAGGTGCTCTTTAACAGCCACCTGAGTGCCCCCAGGAGCTTGCTATTCAACGGTGAAAGTGTCGAGCATGTGAAAGAAAGCTGATGCTGAGCCTGGTCTTCCGCAGACATCGGAGCCACGACCGACAGAATCGACTCCACCTGCTCCTGACTGAGCTGAGCCTCAGAGACTTTAAACTGAAAGACGTTGTACATGGACACGAGGTGTCGAATAGCTGCTAAGACCCCTTGCCCAGAAGGCTGCGAATTGCTTGCACGGGCCTAGAACCCTTGCAAGAAGGAGAAGTCACTTACGGTGCTCTTACTGGGACACTGCCCGAAGTTCTTGCACAGTGCCACCATTCCGCGGGATGGCCAAACTGCGAATCAAGCAGTTCATCTCGCACAATCGGACTGAACGAGCTGAGAGGCCTTGATGCCAGCAGCAACCTCAGAACACGCGCTATTCAGGCAGTTGCTAGGGGTGATAACTCTGCAGCGACATTCTTGGCACGCCGCGGGTCGTGGTGCTGCTGCACTTGCTACAGCTCTGGCCAGCAAAATTAAGAGTTTTCTGCCCTGTACACGATCAAACACTTCCAAGTAGAAAGCATGCAAAATGCTTGCATGCACCGGTGTCTGCAATCGGAATGAGGATTTTTATGTGCGCGCGTTGCTCCGAGCATGGCACCCAGCTCATGGCAGGACACAATTTCTTTGAAGATGCCAGCTTCTCCTTCTGTGCTTTCCACACGCTGGGATGCCGCAGCGGCTGCTGCAACCTCGTGTCTGTCCCAGAAGGCTGGAAGAGAAGGAAGCTGTAGACTTCAACAAAAGCAACCAGCTGCACAGGTGCGCAACTCTGAAGCCTTGCTGCATTGCAGATCCAGGAACTGCAATTGCAGCAGAATCTGCTTGCTCGCCATCAGTCATTCCAGCTGCGGCTTCGGCTTTTACCACCTCGTATCCAGGAGAAAACATAGTGCAGACTGTGTGTTGCCCTTTTTGACTTGTGGTGCGCTACCCGCTGCCTCGCTTAGCAAAACAATCTGCTAACAAGCCACTGCTGCAACCTTCTCCGCTGGCTTAGGCATAATCTTTCCCATCACCTTCACGACTCCATCCTTAGCTGCCAGGCCAGCGTCTATGCACCATTCCTTGCTTGCCAATACTGGCCGAAGGTCACCGGCAGCGTCCAGAGCAGTTGCCACAGACACTTGCTGATCCGCTGAAAGCTTTGGTGCTTCTTTAGCGATCCTGGGTTGCCATCCGAGGCTGCCGGTAAGAACAAGGCGCTCGCAGATGCCCTGAATTTCAGACAGGTCTCTTCAACACCTGGCTGTCAGTCAAGCCAGCTTCCCGCGCGGCTCGGACCACCATTCCAACGCCATCCTCCAGAGAGTATGGACACTGTCATGTTGCGCCGCTTTGGCTGAACGAGGCTGTTTCAAAGGCTACAGCTTCGACCAAGCATCGAATGGTGTCGTGCTGGCTTTCGTCAGTGCATCTGCAGCAGCATTGACAATCCGGGCCTCGCAAAGTGAGAAGCTTACAGACTCTGCCTCAGCACAGCAGGACAGACAAAATTCGCAGCGCAGCTTCAACTGAGGCCAGGATCCTTTTGTGCTTTGCTCACGGGCACATCCGCCAGCTTCTGCGACACTGCATCCATGACCAGCCTGACATTGGGGTCGTTGAGGTCGACCTGGGGCAACTTGGCAGCACTAGCACCCGAGGATGACCCCTTAGCTGGCCAACGGGTCGGCTACGTTGCCACTTCGATTTGCCACTGACATACCAGCATGTGTTTGTTATGAGACTTGCTGAACATCATGTACCTAAGGGTATCCAGAAGGTAGCTGTAGAAGAAGAAGCAGAACTAGGCAAACCCATTGACCTGGTGCCCCTTCGGCCCAAAGCACAGAACTGGCACATCCTCCAAACGGACCGGTGAACCGCTAGAAAGTTTGTAAGCGTAGATCCGCACTGTCGGGCCACCATGCTTGGCTCTGGTCTGGAGGTAATGCGGCGCAACCCAGGCCCGAAAGCTTCTCCCGACAGCTTTACATGCTGCTGGACAACCGTGTCCCCAAACGTGGACTCAAAACTCACCCCAGGGCCGAAAGCCCCGGCAGAATGCGGCTAGGCACCTCC